TGTGTAGTTCAGTGCATATTCAGTCACTGTGGTGTAGACACATCTGATCTCATTAATGATCAAAAGGACTGCAGCTGTTCCCCCAGTGGACTGCCTGCTAGTCTCATGTCAACATGCCTCAGTTCACTAGTCTCATATCAACATGCCTCAGTTCACTAGTCTCATATCAACATGCCTCAGTTCACTAGTCTCATATCAACATGCCTCAGTTCACTAGTCTCATATCAACATGCCTCAGTTCACTAGTCTCATATCAACATGTCCTCAGTTCAATAGGTCTTTCAACAGCCTCAGTTCACTGTCTCCTAGCAACTGCCTCAGTTTCACCTAGTTCTCATATCAACATGCCTCCGTTCACTAGCTCATATCTAACATGCCTCAGTTCACTAGTCTCATTCAACATGCCTCAGATTTTCCCAATTCACTAGTCTCAATACAACATGCCTCATTGTTTTCCACTAGTCTCATATCAAACATCCCTCAGTTCCTTTGTTCTCATATCAACATGCCTCAGTTCACTAGGTTCATATCAAATGCCTCAGTTCACTAGTCTCATATCAACATGCCTCAGTTCACTAGTCTCATATCAACATGCCTCAGTTCACTAGTCTCATATCAACATGCCTCAGTTCACTAGTCTCATATCAACATGCCTCAGTTCACTAGTCTCATATCAACATGCCTCAGTTCACTATAGAGGAACAACAAGAGCGAGATAGACGGGAAAGAGAGACGCGAAAGAGAGACGGGAAAGAGAGACGGGATATGAAGGGAGGCGGAGAAAAATAGATTTTTAAACAGAGCCTTCAGAAAGTATTCACACCCCTTGAATTGTTCCACATTTTGTTGTGTAACAAAGTGAGATTATAATGTACCCATAACAAGATGCAACCACCACCATGATTGAAAATATTGAGAGTGGTTCTTACTGTTGTATTGTGTTGGATTTGCCCCAAACATAACGCTTTGTATTCAGGACAAAAAGTTAATTTCTTTGCCACAGTTTTTGCAGTATTGCTTTAGTGCCTTGTTGCAAACCGGATGCATGTTTTTTTTATTCTGTACAGGCTTCCTTCATTTCACTCTGTCGTTTAGATTAGTATTGTGGAGTAACTACAATGTTGTTGATCCATCCTCAGTTTTCTCCTATCATAGCCATTAAACTCTATAACTGTTTTAAAGTCACCATTGGCCTCACGGTGAAATCCCTGAGCGGTTTCTTTCATCTCCAGCAACTGAGTTAGGAAGGACGAAATCCAAAGTGAAATTAGTAACTTCGTAATGTTTGGCTGTTTATGACCCAGCAGACATCTCAGTTAACCTAATGTTTAGCTCTTTATGACAAAACAGACATCATAGTTAACCTAATGTCTATCTGTTTATGACCAAGCAGACATCTCAGTTATATGTTTTTTTTATTGGTCCGAGGGCCTACAAAATGGGGGCCGCCTGTTGCCCCTCCCTGCCCTAGGCAGACAGGGTGACTCCTACATTAACCATGTTCTGACATACTCTAGGTCTGGGATTTCCTAGAGTACTGTATTGCTACAACACAGGTAGTGACTAGGGGTTTATAACAACAGGTAGTGACTAGGGGTTTATAACAACAGGTAGTGACTAGGGGTTTATAACAACAGGTAGTGACTAGGGGTTTATAACAACAGGTAGTGACTAGGGGTTTATAACAACAGGTAGTGACTAGGGGTTTATAACAACAGGTAGTGACTAGGGGTTTATAACAACAGGTAGTGACTAGGGTTTATAACAACAGGTAGTGACTAGGGGTTTATAACAACAGGTAGTGACTAGGGGTTTATAACAACAGGTAGTGACTAGGGGTTTATAACAACAGGTAGTGACTAGGGGTAATTGTCTCCCTCTCTCCTTCTTTAGTTGTCTCCCTCTCTCCTTCTTTAGTTGTCTCCTCTCCTTCTTTAGTTGTCTCCCTCTCTCCATCTCTCCTTCTTTAGTTGTCTCCATCTCCCTTCTTTAGTTGTCTCCCTCTCTCCTTCTTTAGTTGTCCTCCCTTCTCTCCCTTCTTTAGTTGTCTCACATTTCTTCCTTCTTTAGTTTGTCTCCCTCTCTCCTTCTTTAAGTTGTCCTCCCTCTCTCCTTCTTTAGTTGTCTCCCTCTCTCCCTCTGTGTGTGTGTGTGTGTGTGTGTGTTTTTGTGTGTCAAACACCAATAACACTGGACATTAGAACTGTATGCCAGACAGTGACTCCATGTTTTGGGACTAGGCGTATGGGTTTAATTGAGCGATGGATACAGTACGCATCCACTCAGTACAATACAGACTGAAGAATGATAACATAGCCCTAACAATCGTACAACAAATAGAATGAAACATGAAAGAAAAAAAACAGTAACAGTAACAGGACACATTCCCTTTTCCATCCATCTACTAAATCACACTTAAGGGTCGCAACTGGAGGTCTCCAAAATCCTTGGAGAAATGTATTCGATACAGGTGTTACAATTAAAATGTAGTTTATGTAATAAAATCAACATACACTGCACTATATAATAACTTGAAAATACACTCTTAAATGGCTATTTAGGATCAGTGACCAATAACAGATATTTCTAGCCCATGACAGAAAAATGACATGCCAAGAGAGACAGATTCCACCAGTCTCACTAAATAGAGGTTATTATTTTGTTCTGACAAGTACATGTTGGTCTCCCAGAGATCCATTATAGAGTAATGACACTCCGGCTGGATACAGATCTCAGATACAGTATTGCTGAAGTGAAACACACCTTGACAGCCTTATTCTTGTGGCACGGTAAATTAGCCGAGTGCCTGAGGAGGAACCCTGTTCAGCTTTGGGCTAACTTTGGGCTAGCTTTGGGCTAGCTTTGGGCTAACTTTGGGCTAGCTTTGGGCTAGCTTTGGGCTAGCTTTGGGCTATCTTTGGCCTAGCTTTGGGCTAGCTTTGGGCTAGCTTTGGGCTATCTTTGGGCTATCTTTGGGCTAGCTTTGAGAATCTGTCTCAGGGCCATTCTCAACCAGAGGAAACAGAGTTAGTAAAGAGGAGTTCAGGGGCACATCTAAATAGTCTATAGTGGCTACCTCTATTCATCTCCTCTCCTTAATTTTCACTGATCCAAAATTACAGGACAAGTGAATGGAAATTCGTAAGAGCCCCACAAGTGGATTTGCTTTTTCCCCGGCCGGTTCTTTTTAGATCAGTCCTATGAAGGGAGGAAACAAGGTGAGGGAAGCCACTTTCGACTACTGAGATGCATCCCAGGTCGAGGTAAGATGAGGGCTAGCCAGGTTGCAGTAAAGATCTCACAAGATCTCAGGGCTGTTTCTAGAATTTCCGGGCCCTAACTGAGATTTGGTTGGGGAGCCCCCCAACTCGTGGGCAAAACATTTTTAGTTACCCCCCCCCCCCCCCCCCTCTTGGCGGCGGCAGAGAGAAATCTTCAGCTTTAAAGTTAATGTCGTGCGATTCTAAACATTTTGCCTGCCATGGGGCATAGGGAAAATGTTGCAGTTTTAAAGCACATTTTCTGCAATTCTACAAATTTTTCCATGGGGCAAAAAATTTAGCAGCTTTTTTATTCATTTCATGCGATCTACTAATTTTGCCATTGGGCGGAGATAACTTTCTTTGAGTTTTAAAGCAAATGTCCAGAAATTCTACACATTTTGCCACGACTTATGCCATGTTCATATGATTAAATTTTTTAAAAATTAAAATAAAAACGATGAAAAAAAGATTAAAATAAAAATTATATTTAGCAGACGCTTTTATCCAAAGCGACTTACAGTCATGTGCGCATACATTTTTACGTATGGGTGGTCCCGGGGATCGAACCCACTACCCTGGCGTTACAAGCGCCATGCTCTACCAATTGAGCTACAGAGGACCACAGAGTGAGAGTGATTAACAAAATCAATGGGGGCCCCCTGCATGCCCGGTCATGCAAGATTTAGATAACTGGCTGAACTAATTTACCTAGCTGGCATGGCTAATAGAGTCACTGTCAGTGACTGACATAACAAGAGGAAACTGCTGATGCTCAAACACACGTCTACATGGCACCTGGTGTATTGTACTGTATATCCTGACTAACAGTAAGTTGAGACCCCGCCTGACTTCCTTAATAAATATAAAAAAACTATGAAAATAAAAAACCCAGCCACAGCCGATCAGAACCCAGCCACAGCAGATCAGAACCCAGCCACAGCCGATCAGAACCCAGCCACAGCCGATCAGAACCCAGCCACAGCCGATCAGAACCCAGCCACAGCAGATCAGAACCCAGCCACAGCAGATCAGAACCCAGCCACAGTAGATCAGAACCCAGCCACAGCCGATCAGAACCCAGCCACAGTAGATCAGAACCCAGCCACAGCAGATCAGAACCCAGCCACAGTCGATCAGAACCGAGCCACAGCAGATCAGAACACAGCCAGAGCAGATCAGAACCCAGCTACAGCAGATCAGAACCCAGCCACAGCAGATCAGAACACAGCCACAGTAGATCAGAACCCAGCCACAGCAGATCAGAACCCAGCCACAGCCGATCAGAACCCAGCCACAGTAGATCAGAACCCAGCCACAGCAGATCAGAACCCAGCCACAGTCGATCAGAACCCAGCCACAGTCGATCAGAACCCAGCCACAGCAGATCAGAACCCAGCCACAGCAGATCAGAACCCAGCCACAGCAGATCAGAACCCAGCTACAGCAGATCAGAACCCAGCCACAGCAGATCAGAACACAGCCAGAGCAGATCAGAACCCAGCTACAGCAGATCAGAACCCAGCCACAGCAGATCAGAACACAGCCACAGCAGATCAGAACCCAGCCACAGAAGCAGGACATCTGACAGAACCTCAGAGTTTGAGCCAGGTGGTTTCAGCAGAGCCAAAACACAATTGTTTCACTTTTTACTTATTTTATATGTGTGCACCAGATGCTATCCATTTCATTTCACTTATTTTTAGCGCCGCTGCTTGGCAGTCATGTTTCACCTCAGCTTTAATAAGGGAGAGGGGAGAGTGCATCTGACAGGCAAACATGAGGTAAGCAGGAAGGTTGTCCAAAAACCTGCAGAACAGCACAGAGCATAGTCTGGTTTCAGCTCTCAGAGAAGTCAAACCACAGTTCTGAGAGTTTTACAGAGGATGAAAGCAAAAAGACAGACAGACAGACAGGGAGTCAGGCAGACAGGCAGACAGGGAGACAGGCAGACAGGCAGACAGGCAGACAGACAGGCAGACAGACAGACAGACAGGAAGACAGGGAGACAGGAAGACAGGGAGACAGACAGACAGGCAGACAGGAGGACAGGCAGACAGGAGGACAGGCAGACAGACAGACAGACAGACAGACAGACAGACAGACAGACAGGGAGACAGGCAGACAGGAGGACAGGCAGACAGACAGACAGACAGACAGGGAGACAGGCAGACAGGCAGACAGGCAGACAGGGAGACATACAGACAGACAGACAGGCAGACAGGGAGACAGGAAGACAGACAGACAGGGAGACAGACAGACAGGCAGACAGGAGGACAGGCAGACAGGAGGACAGGCAGACAGACAGACAGACAGGCAGACAGGGAGACAGGCAGACAGGCAGACAGGCAGACATGGAGACAGACAGACAGACAGGCAGACAGGGAGACAGGAAGACAGACAGACAGGGAGACAGACAGACAGACAGACAGACAGACAGACAGACAGACAGACAGACAGACAGACAGACAGACAGACAGATAGACAGACAGACAGACAGACAGACAGACAGACAGACAGACAGACAGACAGACAGACAGACAGACAGACAGACAGACAGGCAGGCAGACAGGGAGACAGGGAGACAGACAGACAGGGAGACAGGCACAGCAGACAGTGTGTGTGTTTAGCACAATAGGAAAGGGAAGGGAGTCCTTCATACTGACCACAGCATGACATCAGGCTGTATGGTTCATTGTCAGATGTTTCTAAATAGAGGAAGGGGAAATATAGACATTAATTACATAAAGGAAATTAACTAGAGTGCTCAGTTAATGTTAAGCAATGAATTGAACGATTGTTTTCCACAGAGGTAAAATCTAAGGCAGTATGAATACATGTTAATTAAATGTGTACAACTAGTGCCCAGAATAAATAATACAGTACTAGTATATTTGTAAAAATGGCACATCCAGTCATGGAATATGTAGATGATTACTTTCTGCAGGCTTTTTTGATAGTACATCTTTCCATTTCCATTTATCCCCTGACCTCCTCTGCCCTCTCAACACACACACATATGGGCATACGCATGGGCGCACACACGCAGACAGGGAAAACAAAAAGAAATGGAGGAACTTATTCAAGAAAGATCAAGTGTAATATAATGTAAAAATAAAGCGAACTCGATGGAATTTCGGGGAAAATGAAATGATACCAAAAATAATTTACGGAGTCACCCATGATTCACCAAACAATATTTTGAAAGAGGAAGCAAAGTACTCTAAGCATATGTTTTCGTTTCAGTCTCCTCCATCTCCACTAACTGAAGTTAATTGTATGGATGTTTTTTCTATTAATAATGTAAAATTAACAGCTGGACAAAAATACTCATGTGAAGGCCAAATTACAGACGAGGAACTTCTGGACGCAATTAAAGCCTTTAAGTCTGGGAAAACTAGAGCTGGTTGGCATACCAGTTGAGGTATACCAAACCTTTTTAAATGTACTCAGAGGACCGTTATTAACATGTTTTAACCACTCCTATAAAAATGGTAGACTATCAGATACTCAACAAGAAGGTCTGATTTCATTATTACTGAAACAGGACCCAAGTGGTAAATATAAAGATCCAGTCCATTTAAAAAATTGGAGTCCCCTTACACTTCAGTGTTGTGATGCAAAAATTCTAGCATAGTGCATAACACATGGAATTAAAAAGGTATTGTCGGATATTATTCATTCTAATCAGACAGGTTTTTTACATGGACGATACATTGGAGATAATATAAGACAAGTAATGGAAACAATAGAACACTATGACAAATCTGGGAAGCCAGGCATGGTATTCACAGCTGACTTTGAAAAGGCTTTTGATAAAGTACGACTGGAATTTATATATAAATGCCAGGAATATTTCCATTTTGGAGAATCTTTTATACAATGGGTTAAAGTTACGTATAGTAACTCTGAGTGTAAAATAGTAAATAATGGCAACTTCTCAGAAAGTATTAAACTGTCAAGAGGATTAAAACAAGGTTGTCCACTATCGGCATATCTATTTATCATTGCTGAATGGGAGAAACTCCCCAAATACAGGTGTGCCAAGCTCATACCCAAGAAGACTCAAGGCTGTAATCTCTGCCAAAGGTGCTTCAACAAAGTACTGAGTAAAGGGTCTGAATACTTATGTAAATGTGATATTTACGTTTTTTATTCGTAATACATTTGCAAAAATTTCTAAAAACCAGTTTTTGCTTTGTCATTATGGCGTATCATGTGTAGATTGATGAGGGAAAAAAACAATTTAATACATTTTAGAATAAGGCTGTAACGTAACAAAATGTGGAAAAAGTCAAGGGGTCTGAATACTTTCCGAATGCACTGTATATATATACTGTATATATATTTACGAAACAATATATGGGGGATTGGAAATGATGCAGACAATTACATTGATGGAAGATACAATCTATCTGCACTATTAAAGCTGATCAACCCCCCCCCAAAAAAAACACTAATTGGTGTCTTAAAAATGACCTCGTCTCTGTCTGACCACCACTATAGGGAGATTGTTTCCTTGGGAACGGGAGGAGAGTTGGAGAGGCTGAAGTCGTCTGGTCTTGATGGTGGACTCGGCCTGTCTGGTCCTGATGGTGGGGAAGGAGAAGGAGTCTGGTTGGCTCTCCAGTCCAGAGCCTGACTCCACTGGACTCTCTGCATACAGAAAAGGACAATGGTAGAAACCATGACAACAAACATTAGAGTCTCACTCTATCCTCTGGACCCAATCAATACTATTATGCAAATCATGTCTTCCAGAATCAGAAACCCCTCCACCTTTACCGTGGATGCCAATCATGTGTTCCTGAATCAGAACTCCCTCCCAATTTACAGTGGATTCCAATCATGTGTTCCAGAATTAGAACTCCTTCCGCCTTTACCGTGGATGCCAATCATGTGTTCCAGAATCAGAACTCTCTCTGCCAGGATCTTGAGAGCTTCCCTCAGCTGCTGCACTCCCTCAGCGCCCCCCTGAGAGACAGACAGAAACACACACAGACACACTCCCTCAGTTCCCCCCTGAGAGACAGACAGAGACCGACACACTCCCTCAGCTCCCCCCTGAGAGACAGACAGAGACAGACAGAGACAGACACACACTCAACTCCATGGGCAAAAAGAGCCATAAATACTCAGTGGAGCTGCATATAAACATCTACTGATGTCCAATACAGTGCATACCTCAGGCAAACCCTCTCCTGGCTCCCCCTTCTGCCCAGACTGCCCCTGTAAACACATTGACACATACATTATCATTACAGAGGCAACAGACACGCACTATACTACCTACAATACGCATAACATCTGAGTGTGGTGTGAAATACTATGTGCAAGACTAGGAGGTCAAAAAAGGTCAAAAAAGCATCTAAAATACGTGTGAAGATAATGTGTCTTTAGTATAATTTAAAATGTTGAGACGAGAAGAAGGGGAGGGGTGTGTGGTGAAGATATACAGTGAGGAAAAAAAGTATTTAGTCAGCCACCAATTGTGCAAGTTCTCCCACTTAAAAAGATGAGAGAGGCCTGTAATTTTCATCATAGGTAAAAAAAAATCCAGAAAATCACATTGTAGGATTTTTAATGAATTTATTTGCAAATTATGGTGGAAAATAAGTATTTGGTCACCTACAAACAAGCAAGATTTCTGGCTCTCACAGACCTGTAACTTCTTCTTTAAGAGGCTCCTCTGTCCTCCACTCGTTACCTGTATTAATGGCACCTGTTTGAACTTGTTATCAGTATAAAAGACACCTGTCCACAACCTCAAACAGTCACACTCCAAACTCCACTATGGCCAAGACCAAAGAGCTGTCAAAGGACACCAGAAACAAAATTGTAGACCTGCACCAGGCTGGGAAGACTGAATCTGCAATAGGTAAGCAGCTTGGTTTGAAGAAATCAACTGTGGGAGCAATTATTAGGAAATGGAAGACATACAAGACCTCTGATAATCTCCCTCGATCTGGGGCTCCACGCAAGATCTCACCCCGTGGGGTCAAAATGATCACAAGAACGGTGAGCAAAAATCCCAGAACCACACGGGGGGACCTAGTGAATGACCTGCAGAGAGCTGGGACCAAAGTAACAAAGCCTACCATCAGTAACACGCTACGCCGCCAGGGACTCAAATCCTGCAGTGCCAGACGTTTCCCCCCTGTTTAAGCCAGTACATGTCCAGGCCCGTCTGAAGTTTGCTAGAGTGCATTTGGATGATCCAGAAGAGGATTGGGAGAATGTCATATGGTCAGATGAAACCAAAATATAACTTTTTGGTAAAAACTCAACTCGTCGTGTTTGGAGGACAAAGAATGCTGAGTTGCATCCAAAGAACACCATACCTACTGTGAAGCATGGGGGTGGAAATATCATGCTTTGGGGCTGTTTTTCTGCAAAGGGACCAGGACGACTGATCCGTGTAAAGGAAAGAATGAATGGGGCCATGTATCGTGAGATTTTGAGTGAAAACCTCCTTCCATCAGCAAGGGCATTGAAGATGAAACGTGGCTGGGTCTTTCAGCATGACAATGATCCCAAACACACCGCCCGGGCAACGAAGGAGTGGCTTCGTAAGAAGCATTTCAAGGTCCTGGAGTGGCCTAGCCAGTCTCCAGATCTCAACCCCATATAACATCTTTGGAGGGAGTTGAAAGTCTGTGTTGCCCAGCGACAGCCCCAAAACATCACTGCTCTAGAGGAGATCTGCATGGAGGAATGGGCCAAAATACCAGCAACAGTGTGTGAAAACCTTGTGAAGACTTACAGAAAACGTTTGACCTGTGTCATTGCCAACAAAGGGTATATAACAAAGTATTGAGAAACTTTTGTTATTGACCAAATACTTATTTTCCACCATAATTTGCAAATAAATTCATTAAAAAATCCTACAATGTGATTTTCTGGACTTTTTTTCTCATTTTGTCTGTCATAGTTGACGTGTACCTATGATGAAAATTACAGGCCTCTCTCATCTTTTTAAGTGGGAGAACTTGCACAATTGGTGGCTGACTAAATACTTTTTTCCCCCACTGTAGGCCAGTCTCTGTCCAGAAAAGCTCAGCTGTCTCCCACCAATTCTTGCACCTTTGTTGTTTCATTGTCTGAATTCTTTAGCCTTTTTTAAAATTTATTTTTTTTAAATAAATTCCCCATTACATATGTCACCAGTAATAAATGTACTTTTAATCCCTGTCATTTGCTTACTTTAATTTCTGTTAATACATGTATTAATTAAAGTCATTTACTGTTCTCATTCTCGGAGTGGAAATGTTGTTTGCAGAGTTCACAACCTGTTACACTTTTGGTTTATTTTGTTAGGTTTTGACAAACAGAGGAAACTCACGGACAACTAGTACAAGCTCATGATTTTGTTAGGTTCTGACAAATAGAGTAAACTCACCGACAACTAGTACAAGCTCAAATCAAGTTTATTCACCCACTGGGTCAAACAGTTGCAAAGACAAACACATGTTTACACAAGCACAAATATTTATACCCTCCTACTAGGAGGAGTCAACTCCTTGTACCTAGACAGCCAATACATCTCTGTTGCTAGTCAGGAACTTAATTGGTTCCTCTCACTGGTGTAGTCATAATGCCTCATGCTTGAACCTTCGTGGGCATGGAAGTATATGTGTGTGAGATAGTACTGTTTCTTCTCACTTAATCTGACCTGACCTCGGGCCGAATTCCTCTCCACCCTAATCCACGTCTGTCCTTATCAGTGACTGAAACCAGACTGTTGCCCTATGCCTCCCTCCATAGGATCCATGAGATTTAACAATAACATGTTTGACAGAATGTATTTGTATTTGTAATTATTATGGATCCCCGTTAGCTGTTGCCAAAGCAGCAGCTATTCTTCCTGGGGTCAGGCAAAATTAAGGCAGTTATACATTTAAAAAAACATTACAATACATTCATAACAGATTTCACAACACACTAAGTGTGTGCCCTCAGGCCCCTACTCCATTACCACATATCTACAACACAAAATCCATGTGTACATGTGTGTAGAGTGCATATGTTATCATGTGTGTGTATGCATGTGTCTGTGCCTATGTTTGTGTTGCTTCACAGTCCCCGTTGTTCCATAAGGTGTATTTTTATCAGTTTTTTAAAATCTGATGTGAAATAGAGTTCCATGTAGGCATGGCTCTATGTAGTACTGTGCACCTCCCATGGTCTGTTCTGGACTTGGGGACTGTGAAGAGACCTCTGGTGGCATGTCTTGTGGGGTATGCATGGGTGTCTGAGCTGTGTGCTAGTTGTTTAAACAGACAGCTTGGTGCTTTCAACATATCAATACCTCTCACAAATACAAGTAGTGATGAAGTCTATCTCTCCTCCACTTTGAGCCAGGAGAGATTGACATGCATATTATTAAAGTTTGCTCTCTGTGTACATCCAAGGGCCAACCGTGCTGCCCTGTTCTGAGCCAATTGCAATTTTCCTAAGTCCCTCTTTGTGGCACCTGACCACACGACTGAACAGTAGTCCAGGTGCGACAAAACTAGAGCCTGTAGGACCTGCCTTGTTGATAGTGCTGTTAAGAAGGTAGAGCAGCGCTTTATTATGGACAGACTTCTCTCCATCTTAGCTACTGTTGTATCAATATGTTTTGACCTTGACAGTTTACAATCCAGGGTTACTCCAAGCAGTTTAGTCACCTCAACTTGCTCTGTTTCCACATTATTTATTATTTAGTTGAGGTTTAGGCTTTAGTGAATGATTTGTCCTAAATGCAATGCTTTTAGTTTGAGAAATATTTAGGACTAAGTTATTCCTTGCCACCAATTCTGAAACTAACTGCAGCTCTTTGTTAAGTGTTGCAGTCATTTCAGTCACTTTAGTTGCTGGCTTGTATAGTGTTGAGTCATCCGCATACATAGACACACTGGCTTTACTCAAAGCCAGTGGCATGTCATTAGTAAAGATGGATCAAAGTAAGGGGCCTAGACAGCTGCCCTGGGGAATTCCCGAGTCTACCTGGATTATGTTGGAGAGGCTTCCATTAAAGAACACCCTCTGTGTTCTGTTAGACAGGTAACTCTTTATCCACACTATAGCAGGGGGTATGAATCCATAACACATACGTTTTTCCAGCAGCAGACTATGATCGATAATGTCAAAAGCCGCACTGAAGTCTAACAAAACAGCCCCACAATCTTTTTATCATCAATTTCTCTCAGCCAATCATCAGTCATTTGTGTAAGTGCTGTGCTTGTTGAATATCCTTCCCTATAAGCGTGCTGAAAGTCTGTTGTCAATTTTGATTACTGTAAAATAGCATTGTATCTGGTCAAACACCATTTTTTCCAAAACTTTACTAAGGGTTGGTAACAGGCTGATTGGTCGGCTATTTGAGCCAGTAAAGGGGGATCTCTATTCTTAGGTAGCAGAATTACTTTTGCTTCCCTCCTTCCCTTCCCCGAGGGCACACACTTTCTAGTAGGCTTAAATTGAAGAAATGGGAGTGGCAATATTGTCCGCTATTATCCTCAGTAATTTTACATCCAAGTTGTCAGACCCCGGTGGCTTGTCATTGTTGAATGACAACAATACTTTTTTCACCTCTTCCACACTCACTTTATGGAATTCAAAAATTACAATTCTTGTCTTTTATAACTTGGTCAGATATACTTGAACGTGTAGTGTCAGCGTTTGTTGCTGTCATGCCTAAATTTGCTAATCTTGCCAATGAAAAAATAATTAAAGTAGTTGGCAATATCAGTCGGTTTTGTGATGAATGAGCCATCGGATTCAATTAATGATGGAGCTGAGTTTGCCTTTTTTCCCAACATTTCATTGAAGGTGCTCCAAAGCTTTTTACTATCATTCTTTATGTCATTTATCTTTGTTTCATAGTGCAGTTTCTTCTTCTTTTTATTCAGTTTAGTCACATGATTTCTCAATTTGCAATATGTTTGCCAATCGGTTGTGCAGCCAGTCTTATTTGCCATTCCTTTTGCCTCATCCCTCTTAACCATAATTTTTTTTCAATTCCTCATCAATTCACGGGGATTTCACCGTTTTTACAGTCATTTTCTTAATGGGTGCATGCTTATTAGTAACTGGGATAAGCAATTTAATAAATGTGTCAAGTACAACGTCTGTTTGCTCTTCATTACACATCACGGATCAACAAATATTCTTTACATCATCAACATAGGAATCACTACAGAACTTATTGTATGACCTCTTATACACTATATTAGGCCCAGCCTTTGGAACTTTGGTTTTCCTAGATATGGCTATTTTATTGTGATCACTACATCCAATGGATCTGGATACTGCTTTCAAGCACATTTCTGCAGCATTTGTAAAGATGTGATCAATACATGTTGATGATTTCATTCCTGTGCTGTTTGTAACTACCCTGGTAGGTTGGCTGATAACATGAACCAGGTTGCAGGCACTGGTTACAGTTTGAAGCTTTTTCTTGAGTGGGCAGCTTGACGAAAGCCAGTCAATATTTAAATCACCCAGAAAATATACCTCTCTGTTGATATCACAAACATTATCAAGCATTTCACACATGTTATCCAGATACTGACTATTAGCACTTGGTGGTCTATAGCAGCTTCCCACAAGAATGGGCTTTAGGTGAGGCAGATGAACCTGTAGCCATATTACTTCAACAGTATTTAACATGAGATCCTATCTAATCTTTACAGGAACGTGGTTCTGAATATAAACAGCAACACCTCCACCACTGGCATTTCTGTAATGTCTGTACATGTTATAACCTTGTATTGCTACCACTGTATCATCAAAGGTATTGTCTAAGTGAGTTTCAGAGATCAGAATATGAATGTAATCTGTTACTAGCATGTTATTAATTTAGGCTACATATGTTAACGTGGGTTATTTCCAGCACTTTTCTGGGATGCTTGCTTGTTTTCATTGCTTTACTGGGAAGCTTAGCAGAAGTTGATATTCTCATGTTATTTACGTTAGTGCAGGGTGAGCTGCACACAGTGGACTTCCTACTAGGGCACACCGCCTCAGTGCTAACAGTATAAATCTGGTTCATACAATAGCTGTAGGATCAGCAGAGGCATTCAGGGCAGTTAGAGGGACATACATTAGGTTATTTACATTGTGTCTTCAATGGCCCTGGTATAATGTACATTTACTAAAGCAATATGATGACTCAGCGACACAATGGTAGGGATTAACTGAGCTGGACTTGGGTCATTGATAAGTCATTGTCTCAACGCAGCCTTATAAAGCTGTGAAAGGATCCAGGAACCCAAATGATTTGGGTGGATCCCATCCTCCTTATAACACGTGTTTTGTTTCCAGAAGGTATCAAAATTGTCAACAAAAGTTACACCCATTGAGCTGCAATAATCACGTAGCCAGTTGTGAAGAGAAAGAATCCTGCTAAAGCGTTCAATGCCACGATTCGGAGAGGGCACAGGGTCAGATATGATGGGTCTTTTAATTGTGTCTAGCAGAGAGTCAATCAGCTCTTTGAAATCCAGTTTCAACAGTTCAGAGCTGCCCTTCATAATGTCATTAAAACCCACATGGACTATGATAGAATCAATGTCCATGTCCTGGCGTAGTACATTCGGGAGCAGCTTATTAATGTAATTTACTCGAGCTCCGGGATAGGACATCGTTTTGCACCAGGAACAATCACATTTCTTACCATGGAGCTGTCAAAAATCACAGCTGGCGAGAAGGACGAGGAAATCCGCCCACTCCCACACTTCACAGGATGGTGCAGGGACGGAAGGTTGCTGACGTCGACTTACAAATCGTAGGGGAAGGAGTAGGAGTAGGCACAGCGGCCACAGACACAGGTACCCTCAGCGACGAAGGTAGCAGGAAGATCAGGCTCCAGGGCGGCGAAACTATTCGTTGTTTGTATCTGCTCCGGGCCTTTCGTTGGGAGTGTAGACTGCTTTGCGGGAGGTCGCTGTCTTTGTTGATTGCCATGCTCCTCTTGCTGTGCTCCTTCGACTCCGCTATCAGATGGGGGAGGAGAGGGCAGGAGATGGCTCCCTTGGCGAAAGAACTCAGGGCAGCACGGATAACGACAAACGACAAGACGGAGATGCATTCAACAAGCGCGAACGCCGTCCAGCCACCAGCCTATAAAGGTAAACATTCCACTCTGCGTTTTCCCCAGTTCCTTACGTAGGCTGGCTACCTGTGTGATCAAGGAAGCCACCTCAAGCCTATAATCTTCAGCAATCAAACAATTGCCGCATTGGAACTCTGAGTGATCCAGTTTGTCCCGAAACAAACCGTAGTAGATACAGCTCCTACAGCGCTGGAACCGTTCATTTACTTCTCCAGACAAAGAGGGCTCCATTGGAAAACTCATCAGGGACTAACTTCGTTAGCTTGATGGATAACGTTAGCAGCTTAGCTAGGTTAGCGGCTGTTTCAAGGAAATTTTAACCTGTCAGTTAAGTGGGATTCCGGGACAAGAAATAGCGGTCCTAGCGGTCCTAGCTGTTGTGGAATCCATGCAAAAACAAGTTCGGTATTTAAACTTCCTGCCTCCCCCCATTGTCTCACTCAGTAACTTTCCATACTCCTAGTTCTTATCCACCCTCCATTGACCCCAACATATACTGTACATTCATTATACATGTAAAGTAATCAATACGTTTTAGTATGGTAACATGAATAAGTGTATTTCAAGCTAGACTCCAACCATTTCATAACCATCATTTACGAGATCTGTCTTTTTGTTTTTTATTGTCTTTTGTTTGGAGTGCTCCATGTGAGCAATGAGCATGTGTCTGGTTTCTCTGTCCTGATAATGTTGAGCACCCATAGAAGTACCTGGCCTGCTGCACATAAATGTAGCAAGGTTTCTTTTTGTTCTATAGCTCCTCTCAGTAAGCTTTTTTGAAAAATCTTTCCAACAATCTCCCCCTCGATAATCACCAATCCTCAGTGTGAAAGAGCAATGGAAGTCATAGGCCTGCTGCTGCATTGGCCTATAGGCTATGAGTTCCATTGGCTCATTTCTTTAGCTCACGGTGTATCAATGTGTCCATTATTATTGAAGTGAAACTGTTCCCACGAAAATGTGCATATGAAAATCATAACTGCCATGCAGAATGGTAGAAATGGTAGGATAGATTGTAGGCTTCCCCAAACTTGAAACTCACCCGCTGCCTATGGAGTCTTTATAAAACAATTCCCTCCACGTTTCCATGGTGGGATTTTGCCTATAGGCTACTTTGAAGCAAGGTAAGACATGCCTCATCATATGAAATAAAACATTCAGGTTTTAAACAATTAAGCATGTTTTCAAAATGCATTCTGCCTCCAGCTCGCTTTGTAAAGTGGTGGGTGACTCGCTGATAGCCTGTTGCCTGCACTTGAATGGTTTAATTATTTGTTACTTTTATTTCGTATTATTTTATATTGTATTTTTTTGTGTGATTTTTGTTTGTTATTCTTTCTTAAAACTGCATTGTTGGTTAAGGGCTTGTAAGTAAGCATTTCACTGTAAGGTCTACACCTGTTGTATTCGGCGCATGTGACAAATAACATTTGATTTGATTTGAATGGGAGGCGCGCTTCAATTACCAGTTGAGAAATAAAAATAGTAGCTATTTTTAAATTGTGCACCAAAACTGTTTTTAACACCCGATTGCATTTAGAATTGTTGCACAATGACTGGGCTTATTAAAACAGGTTATACTACAACAGCAACCAGCTGAGGAGCAGCAGGAGAAACCCAGCTCAGAATAGGCTCTGGATGCTGTGCATGTGTAATAGTTCTGTTGGATAAATAAGATGCATGATGACTAATGAAAATACACACAGGCCAATTGAATTCCACGATATTATGCAAATTAACCTATAGGCATGATGGGCAAATGTATTTCCATTGACTGGTATTCCCATCATTGACTAAAAAGCGTTATTTTGCAATGGGATTTCTCAAATCCCCGTCATTTTGGCCGGCAACAGTTTTATCAATCAACTTTCCATTCTTTTTTTTTTATCGGCCAAAAGCTGGCAACTGCCGGCTAACATGGAAACCCTGGCGCTTGCTTGCGTGCGTGCCTGTGTGTGTGTTCACGCGTGAACAGCCTTGCCGTACTCACAGGCTGGCCGCGCTCCCCTGGTAATCCTGGAGGGCCCTGGTGAGAGAGAGAGAGAGAGAGGAACACGGATCAGAGGAACTACTTTCCCCCAAACACCTTCAGATTTATAACATCACTGTCTAATCGCTCATCATCTCCTTGCAGTGCAAGCAGACACTGGTGGCAATGTCACGGGGAGGAATCAGCACCGCTGAGCGTGGCTGCAATGAGTGGTCTGTTTGATGTTCTCACCAAGGGGTCTACCTGGTCACGTATGTGTTGACCCTCTGTTCCTTAATCACAGCAGATGAAGGGGATTAGGTTTAACATTATGGCTGAATTGGTCTTTATTGTTGTGATCATTGAGGTCTGACCAAGGCCATAGGCTGATTAACCCTTGGCCTACAATTTTCGCGCCCCCCACTGTAATCTAATGAACATAATAAAAAAATCCCCATCAAAATCCGTCTGTTTAAGTTAGAGATATCTGGGGGGTTTTGCATGGTCTGCGTCTCAATCCACCACATCCGCCGATATCACCCTTCTGTATCTGCGGTGAAAGGTGGCAGAGCTAGAGTGTTGTTTGACAAACCATGAAACATTCCGAAAATCTGTCTTCTCACAAAAAAAGATCTGCATCGTCCGAACGGTTTTGCCTACAAACTACTACGACCACTCTATTGAAAGATGAGACTCTCACGAGCACCATGGGGTTCTCCGTTTTGCCAGGACGCCCACAAGCCTCACAAGACTAGTCTTAAGGTACCGGTACCAGTTTCAAAAATGAATGGAAGTATACAGTATATGGAGATAGTTTAGTGCCTAAACTAAGGGGATAAATACATGTAAAAAAAAACGTTTCCTGATCTTTCTTATATCGTTCAGATATAGGACAGACACTTCAGAACAAACTTCCTTTTGATTTTGTTTTGGACTATCTGTTGCTCAATGTAGTGAATCTGTTATTCATTGTGTTTCTATTGGCTATTAGCAGTAATGCCAAATTCAACGTTTCATCCAATAATGTTTTTAAATATTTTTTTGTTGATACCTTAAGGGGTCTTAAAATTCAAAATCAAATAGCTAAATGATCCTTGGTATGAACATCTTTACAAAATCCATATGTTAGCTTAGAACCCCCTCCCCCTGTTGAGATCAGTGAGGTCTGACCAGGGCCATACACTGATTAATTATGGCTGAATGGGGACTTTACTGTTGTGATCAGTGAGGTCTGACCAGGGCCATACACTGATTAATTATGGCTGAATGGGGACTTTACTGTTGTGATCAGTGAGGTCTGACCAGGGCCATACACTGATTAATTATGGCTGAATGGGGACTTTACTGTTGAGATCAGTGAGGTCTGACCAGGGCCATACACTGATTAATTATGGCTGAATGGGGACTTTACTGTTGTGATCAGTGAGGTCTGACCAGGGCCATACACTGATTAATTATGGCTGAATGGGGACTTTACTGTTGTGATCAGTGAGGTCTGACCAGGGCCATACACTGATTAATTATGGCTGAATGGGGACTTTACTGTTGAGATCAGTGAGGTCTGACCAGGGCCATACACTGATTAATTATGGCTGAATGGGGACTTTACTGTTGAGATCAGTGAGGTCTGACCAGGGCCATACACTGATTAATTATGGCTGAATGGGGACTTTACTGTTGAGATCAGTGACGTCTGACATATGCTGAGCATGGATGCGTCACAAATGGACCCTGGTCAAAAAATAGTGTACTATGTAGGGGATTAGGGTGCATTCTGGGAGGCTGCCTTAGTATTTGAACACAATATCTTTGAAGAGAGCCTGTCTACCTCCTAATCAAACAGATGTATTGCGCACAATGGAACAAAGACAGTGTTGGAATAAACCCACTGAACCTTTCATGGCAAATGAATTATAAAGCAGTCCAATGTTTTCGTATGAGAACATTAGGGGTAACATTTTTCCTCACCCTCTCTCCTCTGTCTCCTTTAGGCCCAGGATCCCCAGCCTTGCCTTGGAGGCCTCCCTCTGCCTGATACACACGAACAGGGAGAGGTGTCAGACACCTCCCTCACACAGCCAGGCTCACCCTGCCCTGACCTTGACCATAGTAACACGTCTGCTATGTAATGTCGCCCTGCCCTGACCCTGACCATAGTAACACGTCTGCTATGTAATGTCACCCTGACCTTGACCATAGTAACACGTCTGCTATGTAATGTCGCCCTGCCCTGACCCTGACCATAGTAACACGTCTGCTATGTAATGTTGACCTTGACCATAGTAACATGTCTGCTATGTAATGTTGACCTTGACCATAGTAACATGTCTGCTATGTAATGTCACCCTGACCTTGACCATAGTAACATGTCTGCTATGTGATGCCGTCCTGACCAAGACCATAGTAACATCTCTGCTATGTAATATTGCCCTGACATTATACTAGATTATTTAGTACTCACGTCTCGCCCTGGGAGACCTGGAACTCCTGCTGTTCCGATTGGTCCAGGGGGACCTGTGATGTCACAGAAACAGTTCCAGAAAATATTCATGTTCATACTACTTGTAGTTTAGTCCTGGTTCTTGGAGAGAAAAAAACTGATAAAAACACACACTTGCAGGGACACACACATGCAGGGACACACACCTGCAGGGACACACACTTGCATGCACACAGACACTTATACACACAGAACTGAAGTTGTACCTGGAGGTCCAAGGGGACCAGATGGGCCGGGAGGACCAGCTACGAACTCAGGAAGAGTTGGAGTAAGAGGAGTCTCTGATTAAACACAAACAAGAAATACAGTTATTACTGTGTTGTTGTACCACAGTGGCGGTCGGTGCCGTTTCAGATGAGGGAGGATGATATATTTTGAATGAGCTTGGCCTTATTTCTATTACAGCATATTGGATGACTGTCATTCATATTCCATTCACACCAGTTCAATGTAACAGCGATAGGTTTAGGCTACTACATGATACTCAAATTTGAAATCAGTGTACCCAGAGGAGGACGGAAGCTAGCTGTCCTCCGGCTACACCAGGGTGCTACCCTAAAGAGTGCTGTTGAGGCTACTGTAGACCTTCATTGCAAAACGGTGTGTTTTAATAAATTATTTGGTTACATGTGAATATATTTAGTATAGTTTTATCTAAAAAGGAAAACTTTTTAAATGTTTAACTATTTTTATTTTTATGAAATTCACTGAGGAGGATGCTCCTCCCCTTCCTCCTCTGAGGAGGATGCTCCTCCCCTTCCTGCTCTGAGGAGGAGGAGCCGCCACTGTTGCACCAGTGCTGTAAAATCCTTAATGCCGTTTCATTAAGGTTTGTAGGACCTCTGACCCAGCACTTGCCCCTTGTAGTGTGTGTGCGCGTGTGTGTGTGTGTGTGTGTGTGTGCGCAGGGGCAGTGTGTTCATTAGGGCGATATGGGCGACGCACTGCCAAACGGGAAAAGGAAGGGATTTTTTTTCTAATCAATTATATCACGGCAACAGTAGTTATCAGTGTTCTAATCTAGACGTCTGATCTGCCACTAAATGTCCAATCAGGCTAAAGTCGTGCTTCAAATGGCCCCGCCCCTTTTGGGGCGATTTCAGTCAGGTTGAAAATCGCCCCAGAAGTCTCTCATAGACTCTCATGTAAAATCTTTTTTTTTCAAATATCAGAGCTTTCAATACAATCTCTATGGGTTCCGGGAGGGCTTGCACTTACGCGCTTTCGTCATACGTAACATAACCATGAACGTAACTAAGAAAAGAGCGGGTAGCAGCGTCAATCAATTCACGTACTACTGTCAAGATGGCTAGCGTTCAGTGCAACTCGATTGTCTCTTTGAAAGAAGTTCCTTTTTGTCGGTGAACAAATCAAGATAAATTGGCAACGAAACAATTAGGACCTCCCAGACCAAATTTAATAATTCAACAGGTTTCTACTAAAGGGGGAAAGTCCTACACCCTCAGATTTTCCAAAAATTGGTACGAACGAAAAACCTGGCTAGCAGGCTGCGATGTAGCTAATGCAGTCTTCTGCTACCCCTGCTTACTCTTTCACCCTGAAGGCGGCACGGCAGACAGCACCGCTTGGACAGCGACTGGTGTAACGGACATGCACCATCTTTCAGAAAAGATTAAGAAACATGAGCTGTCAAAGACCCACATGGATAGCTGTTTGAGATTGTCTGCTTTGGGGAGAGTGAACATTGCCACTCAACTGGATGAGGGATACAGGCTAGCTGTCCGCCGCCACAACGATGAGGTTAGCAAGAACCGCCACATCCTCAGCCGGCTAATCCAGTGTGTGAAGTTTTGCGGAGTGTTTGAGTTAGCTTTGCGAGGCAAAGATGAAACTGAGGGCTCCACCAACCCTGGTATTTTTCTTGGACTTGTCAACTTTGTGGCACAATTAGATGAGGTGTTTGATGACCATCTTAAAAATGCTAAAGTTTTCAAGGGAACATCAAAGACCATTCAAAACGAGCTACTGGAGTGTATGCTAGCGGTCATGAGGGAACATATTGTGGAGGAGGTGAAGTCGGCGAACTTCGTAGCTATCCAAGCTGACGAGACCACGGACGTTTCTACACAGACACAGCTGGTGCTTGTGCTTGTGCTGAGGTACATAGATAGCAACCACAAAGTGCAGGAGCGCTTTTTTGAGTTCCTTCCCATCTCGGAATCAACCTCAGTCTCAATCGCCAGTGTGCTTTTGGAGAGACTGAACGGTCTTTTTGCCGACGACGAGAAAGTCAAACTCATTGCGCAAGCTTACGATGGAGCCAGTGTGATGAGGAGAGAGAAGGCTGGTGTGCAGCAAAAGGTGCGTGAGCATTTCAAGAATGCCCATTACGTGCATTGCTATGCGCATCAGCTGAATTTGATCATGCAGCAAGCTACTTCTCGCATCAAAAAAGTGAACATTTTCTTTTCCGATCTTAGCGGGATTGCAACTTTTTTTTCCCGGTCACCCAAACGCACCAGCATTCTTGACCAGACTGTTGCATGAAGACTGCCCAGATCTTCATCCACACGGTGGAACTTCAACAGCAGAGTCGTGAACACTGTCTACGAGAATCGAGACGACCTCATAGAATGTTTTGAAGCCATCCGGACGGGTTCATTGGGTTCATTTGACCAGCCCACCGTGAGAGAGGCATCTGACTACGTGAGGATGCTACATGATGAAGATTTGATTTTTTTCCTGGGGCTTTTTCACAAAATCATGCCCCACGTCGACATTCTGTACCAGAAGCTACAGAAGAAGGACATCGATGCTGTCTTCATCAAACGTGCCCTCGACAGCTTCACAAGCAGTGTGCAGGCCATAAGGTAAGATTAAACAATATCATTCGATCTTTCTCAAAGCAGAGCTTTATTTGAAAATGTATGCATGAAAGGAGACTGCATTTGTGTTTGAAATTACATTATTCTCATTATATATGGCCAGTGGTGTAATCTAGTTTATTTTAATACTATGTGTACTGTACAGTGGTGCTCATAAGTGTATGAACACATTCTAAAGTTGACTAAAAAGAGGAATACAAAAATAAAAAAATCATCTTTTGGAAATTGATCTTAATGACTTAATTAAAAAAGTTGGAAAATCCAACCTTTAAGGACACCAATTTTCTTTTCTTTTTTATTCCTCTTTTTGTCAACTTTAGCATGGGCTCATAAGCTTATGAGCACCACTGTATACTGTGCTGAACATCCAGGCTATGTGAGACACAAAGGCTAACTTAAACACTAAAGACTTTATGCATCCCTGCCCATTTTAAGTGGAACTGAAGTATTTGTACTATACATGGATACATTGCATATACCTGTGCATCACATAGACAACAATACTGTACAAAGCCAACAAACACATTGGTCTGTTTGCCTTCAGGGACTCCTCTCAACAGCAGCTGCAAGAAGCAATAGGAGCCAAAAGACCCAGAACAGCTTTGAGAGAAGAGGAGAAGCAGAGGCTGTCTGAAGAGGTCTGCAACACCATCCTGGATCACACCAAAGAAAGGTTCTCTTTCTCTGGCCACCTTGTGAGTGCTACCTTACTGCAAGAAGACATGTTTGAAAGGTACTGCCATTCATTTCCTGATGAGGCTCTGAATGCCACTGTGAATGCATACCCCATGCTGAGCAAGGCAAAGCTCAAGACAGAACTATCTCTGATCTGCGAACAAACACTGTTTACCAGGGGGCAGGGCTACCGACGTTAAGGCTAATCTAAAGATGGTGCTGGCTAAAGCTAAAACTGGCGAGTGTAGAGAGTATAGAGATATTGTTATCCACGTCGGCACCAACGATGTTAGGATGAAACAGTCAGAGGTCACCAAGTGCAACATAGCTTCAGCGTGTAAATCAGCTAGAAAGATGTGTCGGCATCGAGTAATTGTCTCTGGCCCCCTCCCAGTTAGGGGAAGTGACGAGCTCTACAGCAGAGTCTCAGCACTTAATCGCTGGTTGAAAACTGTTTTCTGCCCCTCCCAAAAGATAACATTTGTGGATAATTGGCCCTCTTTCTGGGACTCACCCACAAACAGGATCAAGCCTGACCTGCTGAGGAGTGACGGACTCCATCCTAGCTGGAGGGGTGCTCTCCTCTTATCTACCAACATAGATAGGGCTCTAACTCCTTTAGCCCCACAGTGAAATAGGGTGCAGGCCAGGCAGCAGGCTGTTAGCCAACCTGCCAGCTTAGTGGAGTCTGCCAATAGCATAGTCAGTGTAGTCAGCTCAGCCATACCCATTGAGACTGTGTCTGTGCCTCGACCTAGGTTGGGCAAAACTAAACATGGTGGTGTCCACCCTAGCAATCTTATTAGGATAAAGACCTCCTCCATTCCTGCCATTATTGAAAGAGATCGTGATACCTCACATCTCAAAATAGGGTTACTTAATGTTAGATCCCTCACTTCAAAGGCAGTCATAGTCAATGAACTAATCACTGATCATAATCTAGATGTGATTGGCCTGACTGAAACATGGCTTAAGCCTGATGAATTTGCTGTGTTAAATGAGGCCTCACC